AACTTTCCTTGCTCCTTTAAAATTTGTATTAACAAGTTTTAAGGCCTTAGTTAATTAAAAAAACAAGCTGGGGTGGGGAGGGGCGTCATATGGTTATCAAAATTTTAAGGTTTTGTTTTCACATACTATCAATTATACATTAAAGATAAATAGTAGCTCCCTTTTATTGAGTGTTTACATGGTGCCAGGAGCTTTAATTAATTTAACATACACTTAACTAGTACTATGTGCCAGGCACTGTTCTAAGTACCCTGCAAATATTAACTCAAGTAATAACCACTATGAGATATGAACTATCATTCCTCCTTTACAGATAAGGAAATTGAGAACAGAGAGGTTAGGAAATGTGTCCAAGGTCACAATGCTAGGAAGTGGCAAAGCCAGGACTCTAGCACCCACATCCTTACCTACTACCCTATATTGCCTCCCCGTCTCTAACATGATCACCAATTCCTACAGTCTCAAAAACTAACTAATCTTTAACAGATATGACAACCTGGGCCTACAGAAGTTAAACAATTGGCCCAAGGTCACTGCTACTAGTGGCACAGCCAGGATTTGTACCAGCACTGTTAACCAAACTCAGTGTTCTTTACATGAAGCCCTGTTTGCCTTGTGATTATTTTCTGAAAAATTCCTCCAAGTAATTAATACATTTTTATCCTTCTCTAAGTATTTGTTATAAACATTTCAGACTGGGAAAGTTGGAGAATAAAACTCAATGTTCTATCTATTTATTCTCAATTGAATGCCTGAACAGCCAGAGTCCAAATAGCTAAGTGGAAATAGTTTTGCAGTCACTGAAACTCCTGGAAGCCAGTCTGTTTTGCATTCAGCTCCTTACTGTGGATGTCCTGACGCAGGAACTTTACAAAGGGTTGGGACCTGGTGATGGAGAAGGCCAGGAGCCCACGCAGGTGTAGGCAAATTTATGGCTCATGAATGTCTGAAATTTTAACCCACTGGGGAGATAAACTAGAGGCTAATCTGAAAGCCAGGTTTCCATAGTTATTAAAAGAAACCATGTCAGATGCTTCTAGTCCATGCTCTGTCTGATAAATACAAATAGTTTAATTTAAACCTAGTTTTGGTTTGTACTTCCACTCAATTTCAACATAAAAATGGCTAAAACAGTTCATTTGTTCAGCTTGGTTAGCAATTAAAAGATCTTCATAAGTAAAAAAAAAAAACAAAACAAAGCAAGAAATGTATAATTTGAGGGAATAATTTGCATTTTATTCTCGGTTCCTGCCATTTCTTTCCATGGAGCCCCATCTTTTCCACGTATGAGATTTCTTTACAACTCAAGAATTCTCAGCAATCAGAAGACAATGTTCTTAAAGGAAAGCAGGGCCATCACAAGGTTATAACATCTGCAGATAAAAATAAATACCCTGCTGAAATTCTCTAAAGACACTGTAACACATCAAAGCCTTTTATGGCATGTGGAGTGATCTGGGCCCTGCCTACCTGCAGGCTCTTTTCCTACCTTTCCTCTCAGCTGAAACCTGAAGCTTTCTTCAACACTCCAAGTTCTTTCCGGTCTTTCTGCCTTGGCACATGCTAATGCATCTGTCTAAAGGAGCCACCCTGGACCCCGCCCCTAACTACCCCCGCTTCTCCACTCCCCTCATCCCAAAACCACCACAGATACCTTCTTGTTAATCAAGTCTCAGCTAATCATTTCCCTGATTCTTCCAGGCAGAGTTAGTCTTTCTCCCAGCCTCATGACCTCGGAAACAATGATCTTTTTGTGTTATATTTACTTAAAGGTCTGATTCTTACTTGCTTAACTCCTTGAGGTATGAGCAGAATTAAGCTTTTCTTTTGTTGCTCTTTTTGTCTTGAAATGTGTGAATCCCAAGGACTTAGAGCTCAGGAGGAGTAGATGTTTAATACACTAAAATCTGGGGTTGAGAGTAGTAAGGATGACAGAGAATGAAGTGTGGCAAGAAAATACTTGATTTAGATACACTCTGTGTGTGTCTATTTGTGAGGGATGGAAGCAGGGACACTAAATGTATAAACATGGAAAGATGAAATATACAATTCAGCTGGGGAGTACCCCCGAGGGAGAACTGGCACATAATGTTTGGAAATTATAACATGGTGTAGCAGAGGAGCAGATGTTGGGGTCAGAGAGGCCTAGGTTTGAGTTCCAGATCTGCTACTTATCGTCTGTGTCACCTTCCCAAGATATTTAACCTCTTTGCATCTTAGCTTTCTCATCTAAAAAGGTTGCTGTGCAGATGAAATGATGAAAGTACGTAGCACAGTACCTGAAAATAGTCAGGCTCAATTAAATGCTAGTTGTCACCATCTTAGCCAGAGAGAACAACTTCAGGAATTTGACATTTTACTTGTCCTCTATATAATTAGAAGGTCTTGAAGTTTAGATACTAAAATACAAAATTGAAAACAGTAAAAACAAATAAAACAAAAACCTAGACATCAAATAATGACATTGGAAACACGGATTTGACCCACCTATATTTTAGGCCAAAATTACAGTAGGCTTGCTATAGCAAGGCAAAACTTGGCTATTACTGAAAAGCAACACTCTGTGTTTTGCGTTTGCAATTTCTTTGGTGTTTTGTGTGTGTGTGTGTGTGTGTGTGTGTGTGTGTGTGTGTGCGTGAGTGTGTGCTGAAGTCTCACTCTTTGTTTCCTAGGCTGGAGTGCAGTGGCTCAGGAGATCCTTCCGCCTCAGTCTTCCAAGTAGCTGGAACTACAGACACGCCAACGCGCCCAGCTACTTTGATGTCTTACTTTGATATTTTCTTTTCAGATGTTAGTTACAGCACCTTGTAATTCCTTTAGCATATGATTCACATCTCTAGCCTTTCTTCACCTAGAAAAACTCCCAGAATTCCTTTGGGCTACTGTTTTTGTGAATTTTTTTGTTTTGGTAATAAAGGAATGTAAAGGTAAGCAGGGGGTTCCCCCTTCCCTTCTTAAGGGAAAAAAAGAAAAGAAATTTTTCTGAAGAAAACTATTTTAGGGCAGCTAATGCTTTCAAAAAGGAGTAAACAAAAAATTCCCGTGAAGTGCAATACAGAAGGTTGGCAAAAAGGAATGAAAATGAAAGAGACCAAATTGAAAAGCCAAAAGAAGATAAAGGAATAAAAACAAATGGAAGAGGTGAAGCACATTAAAAAAAAAAAGGATGGAAGCATTCTAATTCTGTATACCGCATTTTCACAACAAAAACTGGCAAATCAATACAAATCTTTGTGTGGGTGTGTGTGTGTATGTATACGTACACACATATATGAATGTAACAGATTAACTTAATACTTTGTCTTATTCAGGCAACCCAATTAGGGAAAAAAAATCACAAACTATAAAATGAAAAATTCATTACATACCCTGTAACAGATATAACACTGGTATTTAATACAAAACGGTAAAAACTGTTTACCTTTCCCCAAATACCCAAGATAAAAACTAACGGCACAGAACAAATCTGTTCAACACACAAACCAGAGGCTTTTATCTTATATTTTATGCCACAATACAGCAAACCCAGGCAGCCGCTTTCTTCCTAAACTTACTGATTACAACGAGTATCCAGTCTAGCTAATCAACCAATAAATTTCTGGTCAGGTCCTCTCACCTGGATATTTCCCTGCTCCTCTTTAATGATCCTAGAACAAAACACCAACACATGTAACTTTGCTAAGCTTTTAACCCATGCCCTTTCTCTTCTTCAAAAAGAAACCTCCTTCCCTCCACACCTTCAACCCCTACCACTGCTGCTGCTCTGGTTCAGACCTGTATTTCTTAAATGGATGATTGCATTTATCCCTCATGAACCTTCTCATCTTCAGTCTTCCCCACATCTCCCATCTACCTTAACTCTGCTGTCAGAGACGTATTTCTAACATGCAAATCTCCATTCATCCTCTAAAATGTATTACGCTAGCCTCCCCATTACCTATGGAATAGACTCGAAAATCTTTTACATAGTATTCAAGACCCTTCATATTCTGGCCTTTACTTATCTGCTACTCCTGTATTAATCCCATACACCTACAGATTTGGCACTGACCCAATATCGAGCAACTGTTTCCTCGTCTTTCCAGTCTCTGTCTACCTGCTTGCAACATTCTACTTTTGTTTATCTTTCTGGCAAGTCTTTCACTCATCTCTCAAACCTAAGTCCAAATAATTCCTTCTCTGTGATGCTTTCCCAATTCATCAGGTAGACTGGTGTTCTATATTCCTATTGCAGTTTGTACGTACCATTTAATGGCAACTTTTTTCAGCTTTATTAAAATATAATTGACAAATAAAAATGGTATATACTCAAGGTGTACAATATGACATTCTGATATATGTATACACTGAAATCATCTCCCCATATCATAGCACAGTACCTGACACATATTTGAGTGAATGAGACTTTTGACACATGAATAAAGAAGCTCAGAATTTAAAATATAAACATTTTTACAACTGTAAATGGAAAACAAGCAAAACAATCCCTACCCTCAGTTTCCGTTATAAACCAAAACCCTACTGTAACAGAGCAAGGCAAGGTACGTGTGTGTCTCACATATTTCTCGTTCTACTGCCATCATTTCCTTGGTCTTTTCTGTCTCTGACTGCAGCCATCAGATATAGTTAGAAGAGAAGGCCAGAGTGTCAGCAATCTGCCCTGCTTCTCCAGTTCTGTCCTTCTTCCCGTCACCCTCATGCTCAGACAAATGTACCTCTCCCTGCAGAGGCCCCGTCAAAGAGGATGTGGACACAAATCAGAGCCTGGGTGCAGCCCTGTCACTGTATATTTTAATAATGAACTTACTTCTCTCACTTTTAATTTCACACGACTCAGGACACGAATAAAATACACTGTGAGAAAGCTTGAGGTCCTCAAGTGGAAATGCTCCTGACTCTGCACCTGCAGATTCCGTTTCCTGCGCCTGCAGGTCTGTTTCTGCACACCCCGTGCAGTGGCTCCCTTCTGATCGTGTCAGCGCCGGCTATGTCCCAGTTACCTGCTATTTTGATATTCATGTTGTTATCCAGCAGAAGATTTTCAGCCTTGAGGTCTCGGTGCACAATCTTCCGACCATGACAGTAATCAACAGCAGAGAGGATTTGCCAGAATTTTCGCCTGGCTTCAGACTCATTTAACCGGCCATGATTAGCAAGATAGTCTATAAGAGAGAGAATTTAGAATTACTCATCAAAATAAAATAACTTCATTCTTAGTATTAGGAATTTATTTTCCTCAAAGTTTTTCTTTGTTTAAATGAACAAGGATTAGTGTTTAAATAATATGGTGTTCTGCAAGTATCTTGCCTTTGGAGAAGTAATTCCAATCATATTTCACTGGAGTCTAAATAAACGATGAGAGCCCAAGACCAGACAACAGCAAGGACCACAATATTCACGGTATAGCCCAAATGTTTTTCATGCCTAAGCACTCCCTCTGTCCTTTTGTTGAAAAATTGAGTGTTTCTCCTAAACACACCCTAAAAACAAAATTTATGTAAAACAGAGAATATGAACAAACTCGCTGACATTTCATCAGACAAGGGACCTCTTTCCTGAAACACTGTCTTCATGCAATTATTATACAAACTGCCTGTAAAACAATATATTAGACATTTAAGCCACTGGAAGTAGCTTAAATAATGCATACCCAATAATTGTTCTGTTGGAAGGAATGATTCTGATCTACCGAAGAACATGCAGACTTGTTCTCTAAACCAAACACTGTCATTGACAGCCATGTTCTCTGAACTATAAGACAAATATATTTTGCAAGATACACTATCTTGTGCAATGTTACAATCTTTATTAAAGCAGTTTACCTGAAAATGAATTCTATGCATACTGTGTACATGAATTAAGTAAAACAAAACATTATAACTCATTCAAGTTTCACATGAAGTTCTAAAAGATCTCTGAAATTATCTGTTGAGGGGGGAGGGATCAACAAAATCTTGAAATCCTTTCTTATTTAAGATAATTTTATTTAGTAGTCACAGTCACCTTTATACATTTTCTGCTCTGGTGTTTACTAGTTTACTGTTTTTAAATTTCATGCCTTTGGCCTACGCCCTTCTCAATATTTACTCTAAAATCTACTGACATTGGCACAATACTTTGCAGTTTACAAAGCATATTTATGTTATAGTATCTCATTTAGTTTTCCTAAAATCCTTTACTATAACTATTACTCAATACCCATTTTATAGATGAGAAAGCTGAAGATAGGGATTAAGTAATCTGGCTGAATTCATATAATTGGTGTTTAAACATAGTTGATGTGGGACTAGAGCTTTTAGCAGAATTTTTTTTAACATTATATCAAGCATCTTTTTTTTTTTGTTTGAGTTGGAGTCTCACTCTGTTGTCCAGGCTGGAGTGCAGTGGCACGCTCACGGCCATCATCAGCTTCTACCTGCTGGGCTCAGATGATCCTCCTGTCTCAGCCTTCCAAGTAGCTGGAACTACAGGAGCGCACTACCATGCCTGGCTTATTTTTTGATTTATTGTAGAGATGAGGTCTCACAAGTTGCCCAGGCTGGTCTCGAACTCCTGAGCTCAGGCAATCCTCTCACCTCGACCTCCCAAAGTGCTGAGATTACAGGCTTGAGCCATCACGCCTGGACTATATCAAGTATCTTTATTAGATGCCTGCTGAAATCCTAACCATCCTTTTAAAACCCCAGCTAAACGCCTCTCTGCTCTTAAACAGTACTTCATCACTTCAAGTACAAGTAACTTCTCTTCTCTGAACTCCTTCTAACTTTTCATATACTGCCTCACAAGGTACACAATTATCTGCATATATATCATAAATATTCCAACGTATGCAGACGTGTACACACACAGTCCTAACTTTTAACATACTGTGATTTTTGGTTGTTTGGTTTTTTTGAGTCGGAGTTTCACTCCATTGCCCAGGCTGGGGTGTAGTGTCATGCTCACGGCCACCTCAGCATTGACCTGCTGGGCTCAGGAGATCATTCTACCTGAGTCTTCCAAGTAGCTGGAACTACAAGTGTGCTACCACACCCAGCTAGTTGTTTGATTTATTGTAGAGATGAGGTCTCTTCAAGTTGCCCAGGCTGTTCTTCAACCCATGGGCTCAGGCAATCTCCTCACCTGAGCCTCCCGAAGTGTTGGGATTACAGGCTTGAGCCACCACACCTGGACATACTGTGCTTTGAAGAATTAAAGATACCTTCATTTAAACTTTCTGAGGACAGGGACCATATAACTCTCTTCTGTGCTCCCTGCAATCATCATACGTACAATACTTAATACTTAGGTGCTAAGTGGATGAAATCATGAACTTTTCCATCTACAGTACTACAGAAATGTGGAGTAGTATGCTATACTCCATCTATTACAGGCTTTAAATGTAAGAAGCCATTTCTATCTATTCTTCTCCATGGACTAGTATCAGAAATGAGACGGTAAGCTCAGCACATCCTCTCCTTGCCTTTACAGAGCCTGCACAGCAGTCATCCGTAATGCTGGAGGAGAAGAAAGGATCGCTTAAGAGCAAGTATGCAGAATTTTTAAAGCAAAATGTCCAAATCTTCGTCAGACAGGTTGTGTTTAAGAACTGGCAAGTGGACAATCTGCTTTCTATGCGTAAGAGTAAACCAGAGTCTTACTTCTACACTGGGTGAACGGAGAAATCCATACTAAAGGGCGGAATGGACCCTTGAGTAAACACAAGCTGCTGAGGGAAATGCAACATGCTTTATGTAAGGAAATAGCTTTTGGCTAGTTAATAATCTTTCCTAAGATTCCTCATAAAATGCTACATAAGCTGTACCATTAAATGAGACAACTTTTTCATGGACAAATAATTGACTTCTCCAGATAGACATTCTTTTTCTGATGAAAATGCTGAGTTAATGCAGGTTAGTGGGAAAGATCTGTGAGTTTTTGGGAACACATAGAAACATAACAGGTTTAATACAAACAAGTGCAAGTTGATTTCTATGAAAAAAGACCCCAAACTAAAAGGAACCCTCTGAAGCACAATGGGTGCTTGCTTTGCAGCACATATACTAAAATTTGGAACGACACAGAGACTATTAGCATGGCCCCTGTGCAAGGATGATATGCAAATTTGTGAAGCAATCCATTAAAAAAAAAAAAAAGAGAGAAGCACAATGGATTCTGTATTGGTTTTTTTGAAGTTATCAGTCCAAATTGGCAACCACAGGCAAGAGGGAAGAAAAACTTTGAAACTTGGTATCAGGAAGGGTACTGTTTGCAGAACAATGGCATGAAATGTCCGAATCTAAAATTACCATGTAAAGCTGCAGTCATCACATGTTAATAAATACATAACACGGTATGAGAAAAATGACAACAAATTCCAGAGAGTAAGAGATAAACTATTTAGAGAGGTGATACTTCCACTATTTAAGTGAAAATCTCAGCAAGTATTCAAGTATATCTATCATCTTCCCTATTATTTATGATTTCTGCTGTAGGCATCTCTAAAAATGACAACATCTGCTGAGATATCAGTAATAGAAGTAACTGAACCAGAAACCTGTGGCTGCAAATAAAATCAGTTTGGGTATACATCATGCCCTTCAAAAAGTACTGTTATCATGCTCAAGTTAATGCACAAGTTAACATACAAAAACTTAACTATTACCAATCTATGCTTCAGTTAATGTACAAGTAAACATACAAAAAGTTAAAGTTAACATACAAAAAGCACACTCAATGTTTCACATTAAAACCCTTATTTAATCAGGATTACAACTACAAACTTATGAGTGTAAAAGCAATTCTCTATACTAACAGCTTATGTGTGTATTTTTGATGAATGCACATAGTTTTTAAAAAATTCTTTCCCCCCCTATGTTTACATGTGTTCTAATTGCTAAGTGAAATGTAATTTTATGCTTGTTGACTTTAATAACAAAATCTTTCAAGATTATATTTTGTATATACTCTTTCTCCCCATATTGCCACTTTTTCTGGTATTGACTTTTATTGTATTTAACAAAAATCATGGTCTGCAACAGCCCAGACAATTAAAAAAAAAAGATAGTCTGAGAAATATTGGTATAGGCAAGTAAACAGGCAATTACAATACACTATAATAAACTAGAATAAATATGTCCTAATAAGTACATTTATTTGCAGATAACTTTAATTTTCTAACTTTTATAATGACAGTCTTAAACATACATGAAAGTAGAGAAAATAGTATAATGAATCCCCTCAATTCAAGAACATTTTACCATACTTATTTCATTTATCCTTTTCTCATTCCTTTTTTAAATATTATTAACATAAAGCAAGCTTGCACATCATTTTGCTTTACCCTAAATACTTTTATATATCTCTCTTTTAAAAATTATATTTTTTTATGTACTACAATACCATTGTCACACCCACCATAATTAACAGTTCCTTAATATCATCTAACACCCAGTCTTAAACCCAAATCTTCCCAGTTGGCTTACTGAATCAAAATCCAAACAAGAGGAACATTTTGCATTTGCTTATTTTTGTCTCTGGAGTCCTTTTATTCTGGACCAGTTGCCCTGCTCTCACCCTGCCCCTTTCCCCATGCCACTAACTAGGTTGAAGAACTAGGAAGAAACTAGGTTGGTTGTCCTACATTTCAGATTTGTCCTTTGCTTCTTCATGATACTGTTTAACTTATTCTTCAATCGCCTCTATTTCCTGTGAGCTAGAATCCAAATATAAAGGACTAAATAGATTCAGGTTTAATTTATTTGGGGGTGGCAAGAATATGTCATAGATGCATCTACATGTAGGAATATGTCATCTGGCCCTTCTTTCAGGAATGATCAGTGAGTTCTAGGGGTGACAGTATAATCCTTCAATTCTTACCAGTCTTCTCCTAATATCACGGTTCTCAAATTCCAGTGTACCCTGGAATTCTCAGAGGGCTTGTTAGCACATAGATTACTGGGTCCTACTCGCAAGAATTTCTGATATAGTTAGCATTGGGAAGGACCCAAGAATTTGTATTTTTTTAAGATGTATCCAGGTGATGTTTAAGATACTTGGAACAGAGGCCACATTTTGAGAACAACAGCACTCACAGTTTTAGTATTCATTCATGGTTATTATATGAAGCAATGATTTAATTAGGAATTGCAAAGTTAGAAAATTAGAAAATTTTGATTTTTCTTTTT